AAGTCTTGTCTATGACTTAAAAGTCTGTCTGATGATGACGGAAACAATATTTAGACGCCTTTATTTTCTTTTTCCTCCCAAAATACCCCAAACGAAATAATCATAAGTGAGGATGACAAATGCGACTATGCATGGTACCTACAATGTATAGGACACAGAGGCATGATGATTAATTTATTTTGGAAGGAAGAGAAGCGACACACAAAATGATATCTTCTCATTTAATAGTATACATACATTGGCAGATCCAGGGGGTGTTCCGTGGGTTGGAAACCTTCCCCATTTAAATTTTTTTTATGTTAATGTTTCATGGTGTTCCGGGTTGGAGCCCTTTTTTTCAAAATCGGAATCCGAGCCTGAAATAAATTTGGAAAGCGTATGAAAAATTTGCAAGTTATATACTGTCCATACAAAATTAGGGACTATTCGTGAACTGTTGTTTATTTGATGTCCAGCATTTCCAGCAGCAAATAATTCATACATTTCAAGGGGGAACAAATTAACAATGAATCAGGACTGCTGTACATCATATTATCCAAATCACTGTCGATTATTAGATACTTGTTAACTGTAAAAAAACTAAGTCCATTTACCAGTAAAATACAGAAAAATTAAAATAAATATTTCAAAATTTTGCTCTGGATACTGTAATTTTTGTCATAAACATGCTTCTGTCCAAATTTCATAAGATTCCATGAAGGTTTGACAAAGTTATTGATGACTGGACTCAATCTAAATGTTAACTGTAAAAAAAACTAAGTCCATTTATCAGTAAAATAGGGAAAATGAAAATAAATATTTCAAAATTTTGCTCTTGATACTGTAATTTTTGTCATAAACATGCTTCTGTCCAAATTTCATAAGATTCCATGAAGGTTTGACAAAGTTATTGATGACTGGACTGAATCTAAATGTTAACTGTAAAAAAACTAAGTCCATTTACCAGTAAAATACAGAAAAATTAAAATAAATATTTCCAAATTTTGCTCTGGATACTGTAATTTTTGTCATAAACATGCTTCTGTCCAAATTTCATAAAATTCCATGAAGGTTTGACAAAGTTATTGATGTCTAAACAAGAATGTGTCCATAGTACACAGATGCCCCACTTGCACTATCATTTTTTTATGTTCAGTGAACCATATAATTGGGGTAAAAACTCCAATTTGGCATTAAAATTAGAAGATCATATCATAGGGAACATGTGTATTAAGTTTCAAGATGATTGGACTTCAACTTCATCAAAAACTTTAACCTGAAGCGGGACAGACGGACGGACAGACGCACAGACCATAAAACATAATGCCCCTTAGTGGGGCATAAAAACACAGACTGAACCTAAATGTTGATGCCGCCGACACCGACGAAGGAATCTAGGATCTCTATGTCTTGCTTTCGCGACATAAAATTGTCGCAGGCTCGACAAAAAGCATGGTTGTTTTCGTTTTCAACTATTTTCATATTCATTCGATAAATATCAACTCTGCAAACATGGCAAAGATCAATTTGGATCTGTTCATTTATCATCACTATCTTATGCTCTTAATTTCCATTTGCTATTGTAATAGATGTGCCTAGGTTAATTCCCCTTAATATCTACTGATTAATTATTTAGTATTTAAATGTTTATTTTAAGTTTAATTTGTTTTAAACATAGTAAGATAAAAGTAAGGATTGTTAATTTTACTATTTTATTATTTAACTTTGATGTTTCTAGAATTTTTAAGAATATTCATTTATTCAACTTTTCTTTCATACCTTTTCTGTTCAAGTTATCCTGATTAATGACAAGTTTAGGATTTTAATTTATAGTCAGTCGGGGTCGGCCTTGCACAGGCCTCCCAATACTCTCCGGAATGTATCATTCCACTTGAGGCTAGAGTTAGCCACCACTTCGGTGCAATTCGCCAGAGTTAGTCACCCCTTTTTGGTGCAAGTAATTCCATGTTTTGAACACAACGCGAAGCAAATTTTCTTTACCTAACGACTAACTCTGGAAATACTTTACTTTTCATTTTACATTTGAATTACTTTATTTTTGAACTTCATTTTAGAAAGTTTTATACTCCTGTTTAATCCGACTTGCAATTATTGTACATTTGTGAATAAATATAGTTTCATTTGATTTATTGTCTGTTGTTCAGCCATAATCTGATATCAGGTATCCAGATGGTCGAATAGGGACGAAGTACTGGCCACTACACGTCCCGGGAGGTGTCGTCACCAACCCCTCCTGTTACAAATTGTGCCGTGACCAGGATATCTGATCACTCAGTTATGGTTTGATCATTTTCTGCTTATAGTTATTTTTTATTTGACTTTAATTTTTGATTTTCAAAATGATAAATTTTGAACAGAAACCTTGTACTTTTGACGGTGTTAGCGCTGATGTACAAGATTATTTTATTCAATTTGAAGCAGTTAGTCTATGGAATAACTGGAATTTATCTGAAAAGGCTCTTCAGTTAGTAATAAATTTAAGAGAAGAAGCACGAACTATTTTTATGTCTTCTTACTCCTACTCAGTTGCAAAGCTACGATTTTTTGAAAAGTGTATTATTGCAACGTTTTAATCCTAAGGAAACAAGCTTTTTATAAATTTCAACTGAAAAGTTGTACAATTTTGCCAGAAGAATCGGTGTTCGATTTTGGACATAGATTCAAACTTTTATGTCATCGTGCATATCCAGATCACTTTCACAGTATGCAATTGTATTTTATGGACCTTTTTATTGGCAAATTAGATAAGGAAATGGGAAAGTTTGTTCATTTTAAGCATCCTGAAACTTTTGATGATGTTATTTTCTTGGCTACAGAGTGTGAGTCTTTTAATTTGACAATTGAACCTGTTGAATGTGAAATAAAGGAAAGTAAAGAAAGTTTAGATTTTAGTTGTTTGAAGTCTGGTTTTAATCAAATTGTCAAAGTTCTTAAAAAGCTGGTTTATAGGAAGTTTAAAGTTAAACAATGTTTTAATTGTTCAGTAGTTGGACATATCAGAGCTAATTGTCCCAATAAGATTTGTAAAAGTGTCAATTCTGTGCATGTTGTTGAACCAGTTGTTGAACCAGCAAAACCAGTTTCTTCTTCAGTTAATAAGGCTGTCAAAAAAATCATGCAAAGTTGTCAAAAGAGTTCAAAGTTTAATTTTCCATCTGATTTGCATAGCTGTTTATCTGATTATTTGATTTCTAGCCTGGTTGAGTTTTCTTGTTTGAAGGATAAGCCAGTTAAAGTTTTGATATAGAATGTTTTATGAGTTTTAGTTTGTATATTTAGTATTTTACTTATTTTGTCAGTTTATATTGTTTAGTAGGTATGGTTTCAAAGTTTTGTTTGGAATTGTTGTTTTTCTTGGTCACGTTTTTGAGCCGGTTTTGCCATCGAAACCACCCTCAAAAACGTTGTTTAATTAGATTGTGTTTTTTCTTTAGATGTTGGTTTGTTTTGTTTGTTGCTAAGTTTCTTGTTTGAATAGGTTTATTTATGAGTTTGCTCATTTATTTGGATTTTTTAACCTTTCTGAACAAATTTTGTTGTTATAACTTTGTTTAGTTTGGTTATGGTATTCCTTTTGTGACTTTTATAAGTCATGACAGAAATCTATTGAGTGGCAGTAAGTTTTAGTGAACACAACCAGCTGATAAAGTAAGCCGTTCTTGAATCGAGAACACCTTTTCTTACTTTTTACAATGTTTGATCATCTTGAACCCGGAATCACAAGTTTAAAGTGATTCTGTGAGATCTACAATGGTGGACTAAACCTGGTACAACGATGGACTTATAAGAACCCGAAAACACACGTTAAAAGTGATTTCGTAAGAACAACAATTGGTGGACATTACCTGGTACAACTTGAACCATGCAGATTAACCGTTATTTAGATTTTGTTTCCGTTTGAAGAACTGTGTTTTATTGAATGCTGTATATAACTGTGTCCGTTTACTGTCATGATATATATTCTTTGGACCGTACTTCATGAAATGTGTTAACCGCCTATTCCTGGACGTTTATACCGTGTGGAACTTTTCTGATGGTTGGACCGTGTGCTTATATGACATTTTTATGACATTTATTGACATTTTATTTGCATTGATTTATGTTATTGTTTAATGTTTTCAGCACATCTATTTTTTAATATTTCTTTTGCCAAATATTAATTTCTTTAATATTTGTCCTAAGGGGGGAGGAATGTAATAGATGTGCCTAGGTTAATTCCCGTTAATTTCTACAGATTAATTATTTAGTATTTAAATGTTTATTTTAAGTTTAATTTGTTTTAAACATAGTAAGATAAAAGTAAGGATTGTTAATTTTACTATTTTATTATTTAACTTCGATGTTTCTAGCATTTTTAAGAATATTCATTTATTCAACTTTTCTTTCATACCTTTTCTGTTAAAGTTATCCTGATTAATGACAAGTTTAGGATTTTAATTTATAGTCAGTCGGGGTCGGCCTTGCACAGGCCTCCAAATACTCTCCGGAATGTATCAATCCACTTGAGGCTAGAGTTAGCCACCACTTCGATGCAGTTCGCCAGAGTTAGTCACCCCTTTTTGGTGCAAGTAATTCCATGTTTTGAACACAACGCGAAGCAAATTTTCTTTACCTAAGACTAACTCTGGAAATACTTTACTTTTCATTTTACATTTGAATTACTTTATTTTTGAACTTCATTTTAGAAAGTTTTATACTTCTGTTTAATCCGACTTGCAATTATTGTACATTTGTGAATAAATAGTTTCATTTGATTTATTGTCTGTTGTTCAGCCATAATCTGATATCAGGTATCCAGATGGTCGAATAGGGACGAAGTACAGGCCACTACACGTCCCGGGTCGGTGTCGTCACCGACCCCTCCTGTTACACTATTTTTAATTGAGGTTTTTTTGGCACCTTTTTGTCGTTAAGATTTGCAATTTTTGTTGTGGTTTTAGTCACTTTTGTGTCTTTTTCATAATGAAGATGGTGTGTTTAAGGTGCATCCGACAACTTACATCCTTCAAACTTTCTAAAATTCATATAATGATGAAATCAACGTTCCAGCATGCAGCATCAGCAGCTTGACAATGACAGGTTCATGTCGCATGTGGTGTACCGAACTTTTTTACCAGTGTTGCTTTTTCAATATATTGCATCTGTTAATGAAAGAAAAACAAAGTTAAATATAATGATGATGAAAAATACGTTTACAAACAAAAGATAGTAAATGAACAAAAAAACGTGTCTTTGTTTACCATAAATGTCAACTTCATTCATTCGGCGCGCGCTTTCACCACGTGATCAGCAGCCTGACTTTGCAGTGCAATCTCTTTTGCATTTTTTTTTTTTTTCACACAAAAAAATCATTCATTTATTAGTTGTTTTAATATGAATTATTCTATCAATTTATTAAAATTTTGGCAAGTCTGTTCAATCAAGAATTTTTCTTTAAAAACACTTGGTTTTATCATTGTTATATTAGACATAGCTATAGTTTTATCAAAGAAATGGGAGGTACAGAAGAAATCCGTATTTTTTGTGGTTAATACCTGACTTGATTTAAATTGTATTTTTTTTTAAACTGGATCCCAGTTATTATACTTCAAGGACCAGAAGAAAAAAAGCATCAACAATGATTTGGTTTGTCAAGACAAATTTAAAAATTTATATGCTTATCACACCTCAAGCTGAATGAACATAAAACAACACATCAAGTTTTAAGTCGATGTTCCTGTATATAAAACAAAAAGCAACAGCATAGCCATAAAACAATTAGGTAAAAAACTTGACCTGAGAACTTGACACAGTCATGACAGTATAGAAAAGAGCTTCATTTATTTCAGGAAATATCTAAATATATATACAGATATAGGAGCTTATGTAATTCCTCCCAGGTGGCAAGATTACAAAACCCTTCCTGACACAGAATTCCAAAAGGGTTTAAGAGCATTGTTTCTTCAATCTTCAATCTTTGTCGTGATGACAGGGTAATCTCTCTTGTAAATTATCCTCTCTTGTAAAATTTTAATCACTAATGTAGTTTCTCCTTTGTACTTAGATATTGTAGGTGGCGCTTTTTTAAAAAATATTAAAAAAAAAATGTACTAAAAAAAAAAAATTGGTTAATCAGATAATTGAAATGACATGAAAAATTAAAAAAATTGTATTAAATTATCCACTAAAACGGTTTGTTTCTCTATGTACTCCGCTAATAGTTGAGTGATATTTTCTGAATTTGGCAAATTGATTGTTAATAAATTGTCTATATCGGTTGGAATATGTCCTGTTATGAAGTATATTTGATGAAATAATTTGTATCTAGCATCTGAATACAGATCACATTCAAAAAGGTAGTGTTGTACATTTTCTTTTTGTTTGCAGTGATCGTACAGGTTTCAGAGTTAATATGCTGGTTTATTATAAATTGGTATGCATTTAATTTGGAATAACCTGTTTGTAAACTGTTGATTATGTTGTACAAATTTTTTTGACGGGAAGTCTTTTTTTACTTTATTTTTAACTTCAGGATGAAATCTGAAATAATGACGTCCAGCATTGCTGTTTTCCCATCTGCGTTGCCATTTTTTGTAACGGAATTTCTAGCTGCCTTTTTTACATCTTGTTTTGTAAATACTATGTCATCATGATCAACTGCTAGTATTTCAACTTCTTTAGCAGCTTCTTTTGCCAAGGTGTCTGCCTCATCATTTCCTTTTATGTTGGCATGGCCTGGTGTCCAGTTTAAGTTGATTAAAATTCCATGTTCATTTAAATTTTTTATTTTTCCTTTTATTTCGTTAATGGTTTGATGATAGTTGTCACTTTTCCAATTTAGAGTTAAGATTCCTAATGCGGTTTGACTGTCAGAAAATATAGTTAAAGTTTCAATTTGTGTTTTTGAAAAAGATTCTATGTAATCAAGTACAATTTTTATTGCTCTCAGTTCAGCTAACAAGATTGATCCTTTGTTAGAGACAGGTCTTTTTAATTTTTCTTCTTGATCATTGATGTAAATTATAGCTCCAGCACCGCATGGGCCTGGATTTCCCAAACATGACCCATCTGTAAATGCGACTGCTATGTTTGGAGTTTGAGATTTGAGTTGTTCAGAGATAATTTGTTTTCCTTCCTCTATTTGGGCTGTTGTTCTGGATTTTGAGCTGCCTATATTATGCCAGTAGTCAGGGGCTCTGATAATTGATACCAGACCTTGGTATTCATACTGAGGTTCGATCTTGTTTATATCAACCAATTCTGTGTCTCTCATGTCTTCTGTTTGTTGATACATTTTTCCTAATGGTGATATAAATTTTTCTGGATGTTCCTCCTCTTTTCAAATTTCAAATTTTCTTTTAATTGGGACATTGTTTTTAATCACAGGGGCTAGGGGAACTTATAAAGTTATGTTAGCATATCTGTTTTGTATGCCCTTATAAGTTATAATTTTACATGTTCACCCTAAGTTCTTCCGCCCTATTTTAAAAAAAAATATATCATATATCTGGTAATTCAAAAAGGTTTTTATATACTTCTGCAGACATTGATATTTTAATTTATATAATAAAAGGGATTCTGAGTCAAAAGCAATTTTCTGATTTGGCAGCCTCAAAATCCCTTATCAAGCTCTATTAAGTCTATTGGGGATTTTTTTTGCTGTCTAACTCACCTCAAACTGGCGCCTTGTACACCTATGATACAATTCCTTACACCCTAAGCAGGTACATGTAGGAATTGATTATCAGACACATCAGCCTTTCAGAATACATTAAAATTTTAAAAATACCTTATTGTAAAATGCTGAAAGTAGTTCAAATTATGGTTGAATTCCACCCCTGAGTAAAACCAACAACAATAAAATTAATGCAAGTTAAAATAAAGAACAGAAAACAAAATCAAAATGTATTAGATCCCTATTCCCCCTCCCTGTACATTTTGTAGCTACTGCACTAGGATTAATGGTTCTCCCATCTAGCCATCCACCTGATCACTACTATAACTCCCCTCCACTCACAATGCTTTAAATAGAACAAGCGCTATTTCTGACGGCTACCAAGGAAGAACTTCCAACCAATTAGGCTGTGCACTAGAGATAGATAGGTTTCGAATGGCATAATTTGAGGTTGAGTTACTTCCCTTGTCTACCATTTTTGAGGGGTAAATGGTTGATTTCTTATTTGACTAACCAAATTGAAACATGGGATACACAAATTTTAAAAGTGTACTAGATTGAAGTGATGAATTTAGCAATGCTTTAAGAAACAAGAATTGCTTAGAAAATCCCTTTAAGTAAAGTCTAGTGGTCAGTGTAACAAGTTGAATTTGGCTGATTTATGAAGGAATTTGTGCACTTAGACCTCCAACATGGAGACAAAAGGAAGGTACAAAAATGTAATACTTGCTCAATTTGTGTCAATTGAAAAAGTGCTTTCCCTAAGTACCATAAATAAGAAGATGTGGTATGATTGCCAATGAGACAACTCTCCACCAGAGACCAAATGATATAGAAGTTAACAACTATAGGTCACCATACAGCCTTCAATAATGAGCAAAAAAACATACAGCATAGTCTGCTATAAAAGGTCCTGAAATAAGAAATGTAAAACAATTCAAATGAGAAAACAAACATCCTGATTTATACATGTACAAAACAATGAACGAAAAACAATGTTTGTCTTACTTTTTTGTTTATCATGTTTATATACATATAAATATATTTCATGTATTTGTTATGTTTATTTATAGATTAAACAGCTAAAAATAGATTGTGATCATGGAGAAATAATAAAACAAAAGATACCAATGTTTGATGTCTATAATTATGGGTAAGGTTGTAAATGAAGGGTACATGTATTTAATTATTTAGTTATTTGAAGGATTTTTTTCATGTTTTTCAACAGGTTGAAAATGTGAGCATCTCATGTCTGTCAACTTTTCCAATTTCTGGACAAATTCCAAATGGTCATGATGGTCATTATTAATTTTGAGCTCTGATTTCTCAAGAATGAAAACTAAATGACCGGTCGAGTTGGATAAGCATCTTTAGATAGGTCATTGCTGGGAAGTTGACCAACGGAGAAGAGGTGCCTCATTACAAATAAAATTGTTTATCCAATAACTTGGTTCTGACAAGATACGGAAGTCAAAAGCGGTAAAGGACAAATAGCTTGAAAATAAACAGAAAAGGGGATTTTAAAGTTCTATAATGTTTTGATTTCGCTTATTTATCTAAAACTAATCTCAAATTTACAATTGGCCTACCATAAGATTTTTTGGGAGGAAAATGGGTTGGGGGAGGGGGGGGGAGGCAAACAACAGTTCAATAATTTATCATTTATTTGGTTTTCATCTCTTCATTAACTTTAAAACATCGCACAGGCTCACAGTGAAGAAAATATTAGTCAAGATATAATCTGCCAGGTTCATGTGAGCTAGCATTGAAAAATAATTCAAAATTTGCCTCTAGATTCTTTAGTTTAAAGTTGGGTTTTTAATACAATTTCACTTGCCCGCGGACAAGTGGTCACAACAAATATTTCCACACCCCTGCAGTTATTGTATCATCGTAATTGTGTCACAATTATTGTGTAATAGTAATTGTGTCACAGTGACAGTAATCCAAATTAAGCTTTTTTAAGATGGTACATAACACTACAGGGAGATAACTCTGTAAAAATCAGCTCAACGTTTTAATCACGTTCTATTGTTAAGGAAATATTAAGCTTCTCAATGATCAAAATTAGTGTTTGTCAAACTGCTATATACATGTCTATCCAATGAAATTTTTCCCATAAAGTGTGTGGTTCAAGTTTTTTGAAATTTTTATATTTTTGTCAAAGGGTCAAAGTAAATATTTTGTCAAAAATTTATGAAAATTAAACGAGCTAATTAATTTTAGTCAAGGTGTTTGGTACCACCTTAAGGCATCTGATGGCTGTCCCATTGAAACATACATGGTACATGTACCTAGGGAAAGCACTTTGAACATAGTGTCGCCACCAGTAAAAGCAATTTACGATGCCTGCATACATTTTTAACTTATATTTACAACAAATTTCACATCCGACCATAGTGGCCAATTGAAATTGCCTCCCCTGGGTCCCATTTAATTTTGAATAGAATAGTCCTGAAAATAAAACACAACAGCCATGATAGGTGCACCACATATATACATTGGGGTTCTGTGGTCGGGTTGTTGTCTCTTTGACACATTCCCCATTTCCATTCTCAATTTTATTGGGGGGGGGGGGGGGGGAGTCTTCTAAAACTCTATACTGCTGGTATATGGTGCAACCGTGAAATTTGATCAGTCAAAAAGCATTGAACATATATATAATCGTTGGCTTTATGCAGTCACTGACCATATAAAGCCTTGTTTATGACCTTGATAACATGTTTCTATAGAGTTTTATCTATGACGTCATGAAAGAATGCAGGTTCACATGTTTTACCCTGTCTGCTTTAAATTCAAAATTGTTTTTTTTTCTACCCAAAATGTTTCATTTGGAGCCGCTGTAAGAGTTGTAGTATAAAGAAAACAACAATTCATTGTCTTAAAATAAATATTCCATTTGTACTCATCTCAAAACAGCAAAGCCACACATTTAACCTGTTTCTTACCTCTTGAACAAATTAATTTTATATTTAGAGATATAATATGTAGTTTTTATGCCCCACCTACGATAGTAGTAGGGGCATTATGTTTTCTGGTCTGTGTGTCCATTCGTTCATCTGTCCATTCGTCTGTTAGTCCGTCTGTCCCGCTTCAGCCTCGTTAAAGTTTTTGGTCAAGGTAGTTTTTGATGAAGTTGAAGTCCAATCAACTTGAAACTTAGTACACATGTTCCCTATGATATGATCTTTCTAATTTTAATGCCAAATTAGAGTTTTGACTCAAATTTCATGGTCCACTGAACATAAAAAATGATAGTGTGAGTGGGGCATCCGTGTACTATGGGCACATTCTTGTTCTATATTTATTTCACAGAGATATTTCTGAATTCCACTTTTTGTGGATAATGTCTCACAATTTCTTAAATATACATTGTACATGTATACAAACTGACTTCTCAAACATTTTTTTTTCATTTTATTTTATTTTATAGAAATGGATGAAAGTCTGAAGATTATTCATGTGCTTGGAATAAGTAACTAAAGTGGTCAAAGGTATTTTGTTGTTTTGATTAGAACAATTTCGGAAAATCTAGTAACAGCAATCTGATTAAAATATAGATTAATGTCACACATGTACATGTACACATACCCCTACGCTAGGATAAAACACATTATACTGCAACTAGTTGTGTTTATTTCCCAAATATAGTAACACATCTATATTTTGTGCAATGTCAATTTCATCATGGATCACTTTTTCCACAATCAGGGGTTCATTTAGGGATGAAAATATGTTGGAAATTTGTGTTACAAATTAGATAGCTATATATCAATCTATTAATTTAAATTGCAGTATAAAAACAATATTAGATCAATATCAGAAAAATATAAACTTTTTTGTATTCGGCTCAAAACTGGGCAAGGGCTCGGTATAACCTTGACCTTCCACAGTTTCTTAGCCTCATACAAAAAAGTTTATATTTTTCTGACATTGACCTAATATTGTATATTTATCTAATGATAAAAATGTTATACCCTTCAGATAACTTCATTGCACATATGTACATAATATATAAATATCTAGCAAATAAATTCTGCTCATACGAGTACAAGGGACTCTTTAGAACTTTGCTCCCTGTTGAATATAAAAATAAGATGTGGTGTGATTTCAAATGATTGATTGATTGATTGTTGGTTGCTTAACGTCCAGTGGCAAATATTTCATGCATATTCAGGACGAGAACAAGTTCACAATAAATACAATAGGTAGGTTCTGTAATAGATTAAGGGATTAAGGTCGGAGAAATTTAGACTGCCACGGGAAATGAGGGTATATTGGATAGGGACAGAAATTTAGCCTTGCAACAGGTCACCTACGGACCCCTCAAAGAGTTGTTGCAAGGGTTCTTAACGTGCAAAGAGCGTGGCACTCTCTTTACACGAGGCATCGGATTTAACGTCCCCATTCTGACCGGACGTGGCTGCAAATTTGTACATCCCGCACAGCCAAACGGACGCCCCACTTTAGCACGGGTTTTACTGCCGGTCGGAGGAAGACCAATGGTGACCATACTTCTATTCCCCAGTCACCCTTGGGGGGGATTTCAAATGAGTCAGCTATTTACCAAAGACCAACAGACAGATGTAAACAACTAAGTCACTATGCTGCTTCCAACAATGGGCAAATCCAATATCATATAGTATTAAAACCATGATGTATCAAAGGCCCCTGGCATGACAAAATGTGAATCAATTCAAAAGAGAATACCAAATGCCTGATTTATGCTAAAGATAATAAATGAATATGGCAGACACCAAAGAATGACAACAACTGAATTACAGGCTCTTGACTAGGACAAGCAGATGCGGATCCAGGATTTTGAAAAAGGGGGGCCCCATAGGCCCTGAAACTAGAAAAAATTTGTAGTGGAACCGGTAAAAAGTCTTGATTAACCATAACTGAAGCTCCATAAGGGGGGGGGGGGGGGATGGGCGCGCACCCCAAGCACCCCCTAAATCCGCCTTTGACAAAGAATGAAGACTAAATTTTGAATTTGAGTTGAAAAACAACATTAAAAGTGCAGTTCCTCAAAATCAGAAATATCTTTGATCTGCATGAATAATAAATAGTTCTAGTTATCTCCCTTGGACCTTTAAAGTTGTAGATCAAGTAAGATATTACAAAAACAAATACTGATTATGAATATTAAATATTAAAGTTAATTATGATGATTTAACATAGGTCACATAAGGTGTTGACCTTTCTTTTCTATTTATAGCATGGTAAGAAATAAATCTTGGCATTGCAAGCAAATTTTTCCTAGTTAAAAAAATTCAACTGTATTTGTGAAAATAGTTCATCTTTCTAATCATAAAAATGTACAGTAAGATAATTTGTAAAAATTATCACTAATTATATGTTTACATTATTACAAGAAGAAAAAAAAAAAAACGTTGATAGCATGTCCTGTACATATCTGCTTATTAATTTCAGATTTTGTAAATATATTGAAAAAAGGTTTTCAAAGATATTGTAAGTGAAATTATTATGATTTAACAATAGAAAAGGCATGTCCATCCAAAAGGGAAGGTAGGATGGACAGAAGTTTGGCCAATTCTGTGAGCACTCCTTCTGTGGAAATATAAACAATCATATTCAGTGTTCTTCAAAACTGACAGTCCTATCAGTCCTTCTTCTTTCAGTTTCCAGCAATCCTTCATAAGTAATAGATTATTTCATATTACCATCTTTTGACTCTGGATTATATGATTTTACGACAGGTAACCTAATCTGTGTTAGGACATCCTGGTACTCGGTCAAGTAAGAGCAACCAAATGAACTAAAATCAAACATATAATCGGTGCAATTTGGGGGAAAAGTTTACTGTTTTTCAGATGATTTTGTTGTGTATAGAAAACATAAAACAGAAAATTTCCTTCCCAAATTGTACCGATTGAAAGCTTGATTTTACTCTTTTAAATTGCTCTTACTTGACAAAGTACCAGGATGTCCTACTAAAGAGTATGTAACCTGTCGAAAAAATATAAACTCAGTAATATGAAAATAGTCTATTGAAGCTTATTCGCCGGGCGTCGACTATAAAATTTGATTTGTTATTCTGATTACTAAAACCAGGTATGTCTTCCAATTTTAGTGTAGTGACGGTCCTGATGTCCAATTATTTTTTTAGGCTTTTTGGTATTTAGTATAGCTCCTGATCACAATGTACCGGGCATATCAATATTTCAATTTCATATGGAACCATAATTTTGTGCAAATTGGCCTTGTATGATTTACACTTATGGAAATAATTGATAGCAAAACATTGACTGCAAATACATGTACAGGACCACAATATTTTCACTGTGACCACCAGTTTGTAGTCTGTGATCCTAATGACCACCATGCTAAAAGAAAGAGAACTCTGCATATTATAAATAATTGTTTCCTTAATTTCACTGAAAATGCAAATTATACTTGCCTGGGTCCTTGGTCATAAAACTTTACTCGGTAGTTGGAGTACAAAATTTATGCTCGAAACACAAAATCCAGTATTTTGATTGGTCGATTTATGTGTTTCAGTAAGATTATCCTACTTGAAAGTTTAATGACCGTAAACCCTTAAAGGGAAGTAACTACTGTTGATGCCTTATTATAAGTGGGATACTGTGGATTCAGTTGTATTTTTGAATTAGCTTTCGCCGTGATATAGCCTTTTTGCGCAAAGGCAGCGTAAAGCAAACACCAATCAATCGGTTATATTCGTGGAGACCAATTTTCATGGATTGAGGGACAATCTTGGATATTTGATTTTATGGTTTTCCTAATCTGAAAAATGGCAATAAAAATTTTTCATTTCGTTAAACATTTAGATTTGTGATTTACCTTTACCCTTGAAATCCACCAAAAAAGGTATCCAACAAATAATAATGAATCCACAGTACTAATTTTGGTGGATTTGGAGGGTATAGGTCAACTGCAAATTTAAATATTCAGTGAAATACAAATTTCCTGTAGGCATAAGCTTGTATAACAATTTGTAAAATCCATGAAATCAAGACTCCCCAGGTTTTCAACTGTTCCTGAATTCATGAAAATTGGGACTGCTGAAACAAAAATGAATGCACATACTTCTGTCTTTGAATTAGATTTTTTTTTAAAACTAGGAAAAAGTTGCGAAATTCTAAAGTGTTTGGAGTTTTTGAATTGATGTTAAAACATTCATAAATGCAGTGTCTTGAATTTTTATAGGTACCAGTAGAAGTAAAATGGCCGACATGTTTCATGGACTGGAAGAAGTTACTAGTTTTAGTGAAAACAGTGAAGACATTCCGAGTATTTTCCAACAGTTTGATGTGCTGGTAACCAATAGAAATAAAAATAAGAAGGACGATTTAGTCGAAAACTTGAGGAAACCAGGTCACAACCACGCTTTGGATAAAATGATGCTTCAGCATTTGAATAAAAAGTTGAAACCGAAAAGAAAAGTGAGCAGCGTTCCTTTACTGTACATTCCCGGTGAAACAAACTCATCAATAGTTACGATTGATCAAGAAACATTCAGGGGTTTAGTTGGAAACCCAAAACCAAAACAAAGACAAAGTAGAAAAAAGGAACCAAAGACAAATGATTTGGAAGATAGTAAGGTACCCATATCACAAACATTACCTTTTGAAATTGAAACTGTTTTACAGGAAGTTGAAACTGTTCAGTTGAATGAGGGTAACTGTGTTAAAAATCAAAAAGTGGAATGTGCTATTTGCGGGGTGAAATTTGAGAACAGTTTAAGGTTAAAACAACACTCTCGGGTGCATAGAAGATGTATAAACAACGGTAGAAGATATTCACCAAAGAAGACATTGTGTTACCCTTATTTAATTCCAGAAAATTTTGCAAATAGAATTAACAGTCATGGTGGGGATATGTCTAATAAAGATGGTAATAAAAAAGGACAACTTTCAACAAAAACTGTAGGACAATGTCCTCAAGACATTTCATCATCAGTCGCCATGCCGATAGTTTTAACCAATGGAAAAACAACTTGTGTATCAATTAATGAAAACCTTGTGAATACCTTCTCTGATCCTAAAAATGGAGCAATTCTTTCAAATATTTTGCAGAACTTTGTACAACAGGACAAAAACAATAGCACAAATTCTAATTCAGACAGAAGCGAAAATTCTCAGCCGATAACAATTACAGATATTGTTCTTTCAGATAAAAATTTGTCAGAAACAGATGCCCATTTGATAGTATCTGATGAGTCTGTTTGTACTAAAGGCAATAAACACATTACCTCAAATATTTATGAAAGCTCTAAATCCATTAACAGTAAAAGAGAATTCAGTGGTAGCGTAAATTCCAATTTTAGCAATACTGAAAACGTTCGACAGAAGATCACAAAACGTAAAAGCAAGATAGAAAATCTGAGCAATGGTAATGCCGAATCCGAAAGTAAAATGGTGGAGGACAGGAGTGAGAATGTTTACAATGATTCAAATAGTAACCAATCAGAACCTTGTGTTGAAGAAATTAACCAATCAGAATCTTTTGTTGACAAAACAAACGATACAGTAAGAACACAGTGTAATACACATAGAAATATGAATACAAATATAAATATGAAAAGTTCTTCCAAAAGCTCTTCTTTTTGTCAGAACACTTTTACGCTAACAGCGGAAATTCATGCTCCAGCATTTGATAATGCTTGTAATTGGAGAATATCTAATAATGAGGTAAAAACTTTCAATGGTGAATCGTGTCAGGGAATTGAAAATGCTAGTGAAACTGAAACAGAACAAGAAAAATCTGCTCATTCAGAATATATGCCAAGTATACAAGAACTTGAGAAAGGTGCATTAATGGCATTGAAGAAATTATCAGCACAGACAAGTCCAAGGAAGGGAATTTACTCCCCATCAGCACTGGCAAGTCCAATGAAAGGAAGTAACTCTTTATCAGCACAGGCTGCAAGTCCAGTAGAGGAAGGTAACTGTTTATCAGCACAGGCAAGTCCAATGAAGGAGGTTAACTCATTATCAGCACAGACAAGTCAAACTATGGGAAGTCCAAAGAAGGGCAGTAACTCTTTATCAGCACAGGCTGCAAGTCCAATGAAGGGAAGTAACTGTTTGTCAGCACAGGCAAGTCCAATGAAGAGGGTTAACTCGTTATCAGCACAGACAAGTCTAATGAAGGGAAGTAACTCTTTATCCAATAGAACTCCATGCAAGAGAAGAATGCTTGTTAGGTCTGTGCAGAAAGACCATTGTAATGGGGATCAGTCAAGTTATAATGCTGAACAAAGGGAGATAAGTTTTCCAGTGACTGAAAAGAGTACAAATAGGGGAGATAATGTCAGAACTTTGTGCAATCAAACTGAAACAAACGGGTCTCCTTGTACTAGAATGGTGGAATTTGTCAAACAAATAGAACAAATCTGCAAAAATAAACATTGCTTAGGAATAAATGATCTGGAAGGTAAACAAAGTCAAAACGAAAGTGAGGTTATGATTTCTGATAGAAATGGAGAGTCCTCAGTTTTTTCGAGTCCGCCATATTTGGATGATTTATCATTCAGAAACACAACAAAATACTGTGGAATTTCGTTAAACAATGACCAACAAAATGAAGGAATTGAAACTATTCAGAACCACCAAGATTATATTTTAAATGATTCTTTTTGCTCAAGAACATCTAGTTACTATGACAACATGAAGCGATACAAAAGCTGGAAGAATCAGTCTGTTGATTCAGAAAAATTAAATTCTAATCATAGAAATCATGTTTGTGATTTGGAAGATCGAGCTGTGATTTTAAACAATAATCATGTTTGTGATTTTGATGATCAGTCTGTTATTTTGAACAATAATCATGATTCTGATGAAGTTATTCAAAACTCATGCAAATCGGGTGATGAGGCTCACATTTTAGATAATGAAGACAAAAATTCAGAGAAATTAACAGCAGGATTTTGTGTGCGTAAAAATAACTCAAATAGGCTCAAAGAAGATGGTAAAATTGCACACAATTCTGACACACCAAACTTTCCGACAGCAGAATGTTCTGAGCTTGACGGTAAGATGCAAGAAAATAGGAATATTGCACAAAATTTAACAGGATGCTATGAGCTTAAAAATATGAATGAAGTAAATGCAACAGTTACACAAAATTTTGAAAGACCTTTAGCAGATTTGTGTGAGCTTGAAAACGTGCAAGAAGATAATTGTAATGTTTTTGAGAACGATGAAATTTGCTATCATACAGAAACTGACATTTTCACTGATGGAAGCATTGAACAAAGCCCCAGGATGACACAGATTGTAGATCCAAGTCACAAGGAGGCTTTTCTAAGATATAGACAATTGCATTATGACGACAGCATTTTAAGAGATGAAAATAATGAAATATTGGATCATGATGCAAGTTTGTCAAATTTCAGTTCTTCAGGGAAAATAAGAAATCAACAATTGTTCAAAAGAAAAATATTTGAAGATGAAACTAGTCTGGTTGCTATGCAGACAGTTAATAATGATCTTGAACAAATCACATTGATTGATGAAAAGGGAGATATTTTTGAATGTTTACAAAATCAGAAAAAGGGAGATAATCAGGAATTGACGTTTGCTGATTATAACAAAAACACACAAAACAGATCATCTATAGCAAAGAATTTATTTAAAAACTTTTGCAAAAAAAGAAGTTCAGGATCAGATACTGATTGTAATGTCTATGCGGAAATTATGAAGTTACCAAAAAATAAAGATCAGTATGAAGTTTGTTACGAAACTACAAGTACCGATGATTCTGATGCGTCTGATCAAGGAGAACTCCTTCATAGAAAGACAACTGATCACAAATCTTTGTTGTTGAAGTGTTCTAGACTTTGTTCATATCTTGAAAATATGGAACGTATGAAGTGCCAAAAAAGACTTCTCAAATGTAGTGTAAAAGACAAAGTGTTGAAGACTCAGAAAAAATCTAAAAAATTGAAAAGTAATGAGAGCAGTGCTCACAAGTCTGAGGCATTTGATAAAAACACGAACAAGGGTAAAAATTTTAAAAATGTTTCAAAAGATACAAAAAAGAAGGAGCGAAATAGTGATAGATTGATTAAAGATCGTGATACTTTACAATCTCAAAATAGCAGGAAAAGAAAAGTGGAGCTACGCGATCTCCATGATGGAAACTCAGTTGGAAAATGTAGGAAAGTTTGCAATAGTAAAAGAGATGATATTAGGCAGGATAATGAAGAGCAGAGGAAAGAAGACAGCAAACTAAACAGCGGAAAATTGGCAAGTACGGACGATAAATTAAAGACCAGTAACAAAAACATTAATGAGAAATGCAGTACTGTGAATAACAGGAAGAAAGAATTGGAACTAGATAACAATATAAATTTGAGGAAAAGTCCAAGAAAACGCTTTGTAAAAAGTCCTGATAAAACTGAAAATCTAAATCAACGTAAGGAAAGAATAAACTGTGTTATGAGTCAAAAGAAGGCTTCTCAAAAACAAAGACCGTCAAAATTATCTACTACAGAACCATCTGATAGCTGTGTAAGGAGCTTACGTAAAAGTCCAAGAAAAAGTCCAGCAAAATTGATTTTGACAGAAACTGGAGGAAAAATTTTACGAAAAAGTCCTAGAAAAACTGGAAGTTCTTTAAAAGTAATTTGTTTGTCTGAAGAGGAAATCAGCCTCAAAAATGGTCCTAGGAAAACTGTTAGTCCTTCAGAAGTCATCTGTTTGTCTAAAGATGAAATTATCCCTAGGAAGAGTCCTAGGAAAACAGTCAGTTGTTCAGAAGTCATCTGTATGTCTAAAGATGAAATCATCCCAAGAAGGGGTCCTAGGAAAACAGTTAGTCATTCAGAAGTCATCTGTTTGTCTAAAGATGAAATCATCCCAAGAAAGAGTCCTAGGAAAACAGTTAGTCATTCAGAAGTCATCTGTTTGTCTAAAGATGAGATCATCCCAAGAAAAAGTCCTAGAAAGTTGAAATGCAAATACAATTGTGTTATGGACTGCTGTAGTTCAGTTAACAGAGATAAAAAACTAAATCTCAATGTTAGCAAGTCAGATAGTCTTCAGAAGAAGTCAAGTTTTGACAAATGTAATGAAAAGGGAGAAAAACTACAAACAAAAAACTTTGCTGGTAAAAAGCAAACAAAAATGACAATTAATGCAAAAGGAAAAAATGAGAGTGTTAAAAACTCAAGGAAAGAAATAAAAGAAAATGAGAAGAAAGGAGAAAATAATGAAAAAATTGAAAGTCAGGTTAAATGTAAAGGAAAAACAGAGAAAGATAAGTTAAAAATAAAATTGTTTAGTAATATGTCAGGGAAGGAAAGAATGGCAAGAGTGACAAAGTCAGGAAGAAAAACTGATGTTAATAATTCATACCTCCCACTTGCTACTAAAAATAGAAATAATGGTCACAAACTCAGGGGCTGTAAGAATACTTGTGAAAGTGATTTGTTGGATAGGTCAAAAACCAATTTCTCCTTACCTAAACAGAAAAGTGATAGGGGCAAAAATGAAAGAGTGGAATTACTTGCAAATAAGTCTAGTAAGAAACTGAAGATAAGTCCTGTAAAATGTGTTCAGGATTTTCCTCCAAATAAAGTCCCTTGTTTTAAGACACCTGAAAAAGTGTTAGATTTAAAAGAATCATCTAATGTTTGTGTACAAAGTGCTGAAAAAATGACCCCAAAAAAACGCTGGAAAGCATTATTCCACAGCCAGGCAAATGAGAATAAACATATAGAATCTATTGTTCATAGCAAAAACAACCAATCAGAATTTAGTGTTGACCAGAGAAACCAATCAGTATCTAGTATTGTTGAAGAAAGTAGCCAATCAGGAACTAGTACTAGTGCTGTTGATAAGAATAACCAATTAGAATCTAATTTTGACAAAAGAAATCAATCAGTGTCTAGTAATGTTAAAGAAATTAGCCAATCAGAATCTAGTATTGCTGGTAAAAGTAACCAATCAGAATATAGCAGAGGCAACAGGAGCCAAGATAAATGTACTGAACCTGAATCTTGCAAAGATAAAACATTCGTGCTGAATTCTCAAAAGACTTGTACAGAACTGATTGAGACTCAAAACATACATAATTCTGAGAATATCTCTCAAATTCCATATTTTTTGTCATTTGTTCACAGTGAAACTACAGAAAATAATAACAATGTAGAATTAAGTGTTAATGACGAAAGAAACCAGACAGAACCTTGTGTTGAAATAATTAACCAATCAGAATCTTGTGTTGACAAAAATAACCAATTAGAACCTTGTGTAAAAAGAAGTAACCATTCAGAATCTTGTGATGACAAAAGTAACCAATTAGAATCAAGTATTGGAAAAATCAACCAATTAGAATTCAGTGTTGCCAAAGTTAGCCAATCAGATTTAAGTATTGACAGAAGTAACCAATTAGAATCAGGTTCATTAACTATTATGCCAACAGCAGAGATTGAAAATTCAGAACATTCTATAAATGAATCTGATGATGAATTTGATAGTGATGAATCATGGTTAGATGCAAGTTTTTCTTGTGCAAGATTTATACAATACAGTCAAGTTAGGAATTCACTCAGAACACTACCATTCATTGAGCAAATGAGATTGTAGAATAGTTTCTAATGTGTTACCATGGTGACTGGTTACTAGGGTTTTGAATGAAACAATCATGTTGATTTAGTATTAGAATATATTATGACAGGTCATTACATTTAAGAGGGTCTGGATAGGGAGTCCTTCATTTCTTTATTTTTAACTTTTTAGAACATTTTTCTCTATTCCTTTTTACCCTTATTCTCTATTCTTTATATTTCAGCACCCTATTATTCTCTATACCTTATTTTTTGGCCCATTTTTCTCTATTCTTTATATTTTTGGCTCTTTATTTTGCAATATGAACCCATTATTCTCTATTTTGTAACCCCCATCCAGACCCTCATTTAAATTTCAGGCAAGAGGAAAAAAAATCAAATTGAGACAACTATTAATTGGTATTTTAAAGTTCTTTGGTTTTTAATCATATTAAGGAAAGATTTTTTAGATAGAAATTATTTTCTTTCAACAGTGACAGTTGTAAATATACCTAAAATACTGTGGAGATTAGAAAAAAACATGAATAAATGACTTTTCTATTAAAAAGAACAACTGAAATTTAATTGTTTTGGTTAAAAAATTCAAATTATTAAACATTGCATTCTTGGCTTCACAAAGTAAGGTCACATTTTATTGTCTGAAATTGGTCTAGTCCCAGTTCGCAGATTGTTAGTCTTGCATCAATAGTTATGTTTGCAAAGGAGACTGTATGCAAATGTCCTTTTTGGCCCCTTGAAATTGAATATGATAAATCTCTAAATAAACTTCTTCCAGATGTTCAAAACACGGAATTCTGTCAAATAACAGTATTGAAATATTAGAGAACTTTATCTTACACATTTGCTTTTGGCTTTCAAAATCTTCCATTTGAGGGGGACTATATTTATAAAAATTGTTTACTGTCAGATTCCTCAGTCACATTAAGGATGTTTGCTCCTCTATTTATAAATAACAAGATTTTTTAAAAGTCTGTTATAAATTAATAGTATATAAATAAGGGAAATTTAAAAGTAGAAAAAAATGATGCGTCAGTGTACTTGTTTTTGAGTTATATTCAATTGAAAATTTGTGGGAAATGATTCTCTCTAGATTTTTCATTCATTTAAAATTGGCACCTTTTTTCTTTTTAAAAACTATGAAAAAATAACAAGGATTTTATAAGATTTTTAAAAATGACTTATTAAACTGTATGTAATAAAATTATAAAAGGAAAAGTAGGGGTTAGAGGGCAAAATTAAGATATGAGATACAAAGAAGTGTTTTATTCAAAAATTTTATGACTAAAATATCTTTGGGTAAGGCATATATTTTATTTAACAAAAAACATGTAAAATGTCAATTAAAGTCAAATTTATTGATTAAGTGGTATCCTTTTGGATTCGGTGGATTCACATTTTTTATATTTATTCTATTAAATTTTAGGCATAAATTACCCATTACGAGCTGTTTGTGATGTGACTGGCACATTGTAATGATGTTAATATTTATTTACTATTTATTATGAAAAAAAGCATATTGAACTAAGACAGGAAAATGGCAGTTTTTTTCATTAAAAATCAAAACAGTCATTCTTATGATTTGTAACAGTATAGGTGTCATGGTTTTTTTTTTGCCTGCAATGAACGTTGCAGATATTCTATTTGTTTGATAGGCAGTGTGTTTTTGTCTTGTTTGTGAAGAAAGTCACAAAATGTGCAGAGGCAGATCCAGCCATTTTTAAAAGGGGGGTTCCAACTTTATGTCCCCATTCAAATGCATTGATCGTCCAAAAAAAGGGGGGTTCCAACCCCAGAACCCTCCCCCCTGGATCCGCCACTGATGTGAGACATTCAGATACTTATTAGGCAGCAGATTTATATTTTAGAATGTTGAAGACCTCCTTGAGGCTTCATATCTTGTATATTGATAACTTGTGTTAGAAAGTTTCAGTCTTTCAAATGTCCATTGTCTTTAACCTCATTTTTGTCTCTCCTGCTAGACCTAGGGATTACAATCTGTGGCGGCGACATCATAAACTATTTGTATTAAGCTTTATATTTCAGAAGGTAGAAGAACTGGATGCTTCATACCTTGTGTACAGATACCTTATGCTACAAGTTTTCCATCTGCTGTCATAATTATTATATGACCGCAAAACATTTTGCGGTCGTATATTGGTATCTCATTTTTGTCGTCGTAGGTGGCGGCGTTGTCCAAAGACAGTTGGTTTCCGGACAATAACTTTAGTATAATTAAATAGAAATCTATGAAATTTAAACTCAAGGTTTATAACCACTAAAGGAAGGTTGGGATTGATTTTGGGGGTTATGATCCCAACAGTTTAGGAAAAAGGGACAAAAAAGGTCCCCAAATAAGCATTTTTCTAGTTTCCAGACAATAACTTGTGGAACGGTGTATGGATCTCTCTGAATTTATACTACAAGTTTCCATACCACAAAGGGATGGTTATGATTGGCTTTTGGGGGGTTATGGCTCAAATCGTTTAGGAATTAGGGGCAAAAAAGGGGGAAAAACAAGGGTTTCCTGGTTAATGGACAATTACTTAAGACAATTTAAAAGCAATGTAAGGGAGGTAATCCAAACACAACGTTTTGATTACCTCCCTTACACTGCTTTTAAATTATGTATAAAGAAATGTTGTATTGTCTTGAGATGATTAGCTGTCAATTTATTTTTAGAAGTTACTATTAAGGAATATTAATTTTAGACATGATTATGTATGTCATTTTCTATTTTAAGACTTTTATGATGTATTTAGATGGGCAATTGTGGTTGCAAACTCCATTGGAAATTTAAATTGAGATTATGACCATATCTTGAGGGAAAGATTTTTGTTGGGGAGAAAAAGGGGGGAAGGTGAAAAAAATTGGGGGGGGGGGGGTAAACATATATGGTGGGGGTCATTTTTTTCTCATTTCAGATTTCAGAAATTAAAAAGAAAAATTCTTCAAATATTATTTTTTTTGCAAAAAAAAGTGTGGGGTGGGGGGGAGGATAACAAAAGCAAAAAAAAAAGGGGGGGTAATTTCTTTTTATTGTGGGGGAGGAGAAGGGGGGGTCAATTCGCAACAGCAAAGTGTATTGCACAAAAGCAAAAAAATTAATATAAATTCAAATCATATAACCAATTCTAAGTTCTTAGACTACAGCTATTCTGTGTCAGAAACATGTAATGTCAAATATTTAATTACAATCCAAATTCAGACCTGTATCAAGCGCGAATTTTGTGTCCATTTTTGCCCCAACTGTTCAGGGTCGGACCTCTGCGGTCGTATCCAGCTTCGCTCGGCGAAGCAATTTATGTCTATTGTCCTTGACCTCATTTTTGTGGTTCATTGACTGCTTGAAAAAAAAAACGTTTTATTTGTCAAGTGAAATACTTATTAAAAGTAATAGGATACTTATATTTGGTGTATCCAGTGGCGGATCCAGAGGGGGGCGTAGAGGGCGTACCCCCCCCCCCCTTTTTGCTTGCACTTTTTTTTTTTGTAAAATGCTTAATCAGACTAGACTTCGCGAACTTTGCCATTTCCCGTGTATTTAATTTTTATGCGACAATTCTTTACTTATAAAGATATTTCTCGCTCGTATTTACTCTGAGACTACTATAACTGTTATAGAAGTCTCAGTATTTACTGTAATATATTATTGATTATGTCAAAGTTATGTGATTCGCTACGGTGGAGTTGACCAGTACGTCGAAAAAAAACGTCACTCAGTCATTTTGAAATTCAAATTACAGTAACACATTGCTTAGGCTGAGGATGACAAGCATGACGCCTTCAAAGCGACAAAGTATTGAGCAAGAACGTATTGACTTCTATTTCACAATTCCACCCAATAGAAAGTAATACTCTATTACACTCTAAAGAAAAAAAAGTGCCACAGCAATATTATTTACCTACGAAAACATATTTAACCCAACACGCCCCAACCCATTAATACCATTGCTGAATAGTGATCCCCAGTCAGTAAGCTCTAGATATAGATTTAGTCTAAGGTACGGACCATTTGATTTGATGGGGCAGTCTGAGATATTTTAGAGAAAAAATTCTTACCCTGATTTTTGCCTTAAACAAAAATTCTGGCCGTATCTGGATTGTAAACAATAACCTTGTCCACCTCATTGCTATTAGAAAAAAATATTTTCAACAAAATTATTTAGCATTAAATGAACATGATGAATAAAAAACGGGCGTAATTTTTTTGGGGGGGTTGCATGTGAATCCCATATCTGACCGGAGTGTCTGTTTCGCCGAACTGATATACTGAATACTTTTTTCAAGGCCCCTATATGTCTCCATGTGTCGACCGTCATTCACAACTTCATTGTCATTTCCGACTCATTCGTAGCATTTGGTTGATTTGGAACCCCTCACTTTCCTTGTTGGTTGAAACATTTCAGCCAAACATTTGGATAAAAATTGCTTGTTTGTCTTTCTTCGTGTCGGTCGTATTGTAAATTTCATTGAATAGCCGTATATCTTGTTTACAACAAGAAATCTGTAAGGTTATGCTTACTAACCATACAACAAACGAGAATTTTCCATGTCCATTTTTTACTGACGAATCCCACATCAAATATATTAATTAGTACATAGCTTTGGATCCATCCAATCATTTTATAATAGACAATTAATGGAGAGAATACGGCACCAAAAATGTCCAACCCCTACACTTTAACTATAAAATGCATTTTACACTTATTTTATGTTTTTTAGCCAAAAAAAGGTCCAAAAAATTAATCGCCTCGCTCCGCTCGGCGAACTTTAATACTACGCCCCCCTTTCCAAAATCCTGGATCCGCCCCTTGTATGGGATACTTGCAAAGTCTACATGTCCATCATACACTGTCACAAGGTTCACCTGACCTTGACCTCATTACATGGATCAGTGATCAAGGTGAAAGTGAAGTGATAAGGTCTGTTTCTTAGATATTATAAGCAGTAGGTCAACACTATTTGGTAGATGGAATATGATTGTAAGGTGCACTTGTATATCTGACCTTGGCCTGGTTTTCGTGGTTTGCTTGTCACGTTGGATACGTTTTTTGTCTCTTGGTATGTTTCTCAAATACGAGGGTCTGGATAGGGTAACTGTCGTAAAAAGAAAGAAAAAAGTGATCAGCAGGACAATATCTACAAATAAGAGTAACATGGCCGAAATCAGCAGACGACTTCTTTTTGGAGTTTGAAAAATGGTTTTAAACTAGTTAAGGGTTTTTTTTTCGAAACGATAGTAGATAGATAGAAACAAGTTAAAGCAAAAATAATCAACAGAACAAGATGTACAAATAAGGGAACGACCATTTAACTATGTCACCGTAAACCCTTCAAAAATGATCGAAACCAAACCCATACCGTATAGTAAGCTATTATACAAGGCCCCGATATCACACAATGAAAAACAATTCAAATAAGAAAATCAACGGCCTGATTTATATGACCAAAAAAGAAAAGAAAAACAAATATGGCTGACAGCAATCAACGACAACCACTGAATAACAGGCTCCTTACTTGGTACAGACACACACATAATGTGGCGAGGTTAAA